TGTTTTCCTTCAGGTTTGGTATCTCTCAATGCGCCTCCAGGTCTTGTGTAAACATATTGAGTCTTTGTTTATTTTTGACATAAACAAAATGCAACCACAGTCTGCCTAGCCAACATCATCTAGCTGGAATGGCAACCTTGTTCCCATAACGAACTCAACATACTGAAAAAAGGGACAAGCAAAGCTTCTACATGAATAAGAGATTCAGCTGCAATGAACATTCGCTGACCATTCCGTATTTTTCAAGACTTTTTTAAATATTTGTACTTTACTTGTTAAGTGTTAAGAAAAAATAATCTTTGCAGTGACAATACTGATTGAAAATAAAATATCTAAAATTAGGAGACATAATCAGCAAGCTCTTTGCAGATCTACAACTCTAGTTTGCAGTTAATGACTGCTCTTTCTCACCGGTTGAAAGAGACTTTGTCATTTTAGTAGCATTTCACCATATTACCAGGCAATTTGCTCATCTGAGCCATACCAAGACTGTTGGTCATTGATAAGAAGATCATAAAGACTAATACTCCCATCAGGTAAGGAAAATGTTTAATTCACTTCCATTCTCTCAGTTTCAATTTAATTACTGGACTGAGATAACATCTATGGCCCGTAGCTTTTTAGTCCATTTTTAGCTGGGAATACAAGTCCACTTAAAATGCTAACTATTTTCCCTCCTCAAACCATAAACTTCAGTAACTCAAAAACAACTGAGAAGGGGTTCCTAAACTAATCTTGGCAAATATGAAGCGTATAGAATTCCACCTTCATTTGAGATTGTATAAGCACATGAAATCAGAGAACCAGAAGGTTGTAATTAGTACATTTTTTTTTTTTCATATGGGTGCCGATATGAGTAATTTCCCAAATCAAGATAAGACATTTGAATTTTACTTTCAAGCCTGTTCAAAGTGATTGTTTCTTTTCACAGAATCAAATGCTTTTTGGACAATTTACCAGTAATCTGGTGGTCATCACTTATGTGAATTTACATTAACTTCCTGCCAGTTTGTATTTGCATTGTTTTGGGTTTTTTTTTAAGAAATAAATTTGATTGTATCAGTTTCTACCTGAGCTTTTGCTTATTATTTCTATGTCTTCTTTTCTGTAATGTGACCTCTCAGCATTTTCTCAGCTTGTGCTTTGGTTCTGTTTTGCTCACCAGGTTAGTCTCTTATCTGTTTCTTTGCTTGGTTAGTATTTTTCCTCTTGAGTTCTCACATTTACCTAAAGCATTCCCAGCTTGTAGTTTGGGGAAACTCTAATAGCAAGAAATAGCAGTAAAAATATTAATTTATCCTTTATTCTACTGTTCAAACCTGCTTCCAGAGTTTTTTAGGACTGGCCAAATGTACATATTGGAAAGAACTGTGGGCATTAAACAACTCTGAAGATTATTTCTTCTCCATTTATCTGTTTAGATATACCAGTGTGCACAAGGCTTGGTGAATGATGGAACTGCTGTCAGAAATGACAACTCAAAGCAGTAAAATACACACCAGATAAAAAAAAAATAGCTTTCTGCTGTGAAGATCAATGGAAGGATGGAGGACGGGACTCAAAAAAGCAGCTTGGGTTATCCGTACAGCAAAGTACACTCAGAAAATTTGACCAAGAATGTATGTGTCCATTAATACTGAGTGCAGGACTCATGACTGAAAATAAGAAATGGCTGAACTCTAGGCCTTGAGACCAGTTTGCGCTCTGCAAAGATAAAAATATATGCCCATGCATATATACTGCAATGCCCATGTCCAGATGTTATGTCCAGCATCCACTGCAATTACATGGAGGGAAAGTGACACCACCTGTGAAGTCCTCCTCTTGTATCCCAGGTTCTTCTGAGGCTGGCAACCACACACAGGTTTTGGATCTTTTTATGTCTCTGTAGCCTTGAGTAGCTGACAGTGATCAGTGTCTCCATCCTGTCCCACCTCTGTGAATCATGGGGATTTCTTCACTGCTCTTTTTCTCCACCTCTAGGTGTTTTGTGAAAGTGCACAAGGGTATGCTGGGGTCCTGATGACCTGCTAATTAGCCATTGGAATAGTCTATGAACTATGAGCCAGAGCCCTTTTGTAGGTGTGTAGAGCACACAAAGTGTTCAGTGATCCAGACCCAGATATTCATTCATGCTCCACACCAATCGCAACGTTCCTGTTACAGCTGTTTACACCTTGAGGTAGAGAAAACAATCTAAATAATTTTAATTACAAGCATACTAACCCTAAGAACCACAGGTTTGCTGCTACTGAATGGCGTAGGTGACCTAGTGATGAAGGACAGGGAAAAGGCTGAGGTACTCAAAGCCCTCCTTCCCTTGTTCTTTACTAGCAAGGTCAGCCCAGCCCTTGGTCCTCACAGAGCTCTCTATGCCTACTGGCAAAGTTTGGAGGAGGAGACTAATACCAGTTGTAGAGGAAGGTTGAATTAAGGCCACTTTACCAAATTAGGTGTTTACAAGTCCTTAGGGTTGGGCAGAAGATGCTTGTAAAGGTGGTGGGAGGCTGGCTGATGTCACTGTGCTGCTTCCTAGCACCTTTGAAGGCTGTGGCAATCATGTGGGATTTCCAGTTACTGGAAAAAAGCAAATGTCCCATCCACCATCAAAGCAAAGTGCAGGAAACTACAAGATAGTCATCCTTACCCAGTCTCTCTCTCTGAGAAGATTGTGAAGCAAACCTTTCTGTAAGCCATTTCTGGGGTGATGAAGGACAAGAAGCTGATTCAGAAAAAAACATCACTGTTCTACCAACACTATTGTCTTCTGTGATGAGATGAGGTGATAGCCGCAGCACACATTAATTTTAGAAAGACTTTTGCTAGGTATCCATAGCATCTTTGTAGTCCATTAGGGACTGAGTAAGTGGACAAGGTGGGTGGAAAAGAGTGTGAACCATTCTATTGAAAATGTAATAGTCAACAGTCCAAAATGAAACCAGCAATGAGTTTATGAGTGGTGTTGCTCAGGGTTGAATAGATGAACTCTAGAGATCATAGATTTTTCTAGCATTCTGTGCTCAGGCCTTGCAGGGCACTCTGTAATATTTGGCTCCTCCTATTAAAACCACAAGTAATTTTGGTTTCTGTGGGTTGGTGGGTTAGGCTGCAGCCCAGGGTAGGTACCTACTTTGATTCTGAGCTTACACAGCTGAGTTTGCATGATGTGAAGTGGCAGTGCATCACAAAGTGTTCCCATTCAATATGCTTCTCACTATGAGCAAAGGTGCCCTGACCGGCAACGACCATCCCCCAACTCCAGGATACAAGCATTGCTTGAAAAAAATTTTTTCCATGCTTCCCAATCTGGGGACTTGTATTTGAAAGCAAGAGGTGAAAATGAACCCACTTTGTAAGGGATTTTTAACAAGGATCATTTTCTACTTCAGGCCTATATCATTTTCATCCAAGTGTACTCTGTCAGCATTCCCATCTCTTAGCTATTCTGATATCGGGCATTTCTCCATGGGATGCCTTTGACTCCAGTGGCTGTCAGTTAAAATAGTTCACACACATCCAGAAAACCTGCTGGTTTTGTACTCACTTTATGAATAACTCTCCCTTTGTGTTTTAAAATTAACTAATTAATTAAATTAACAGCTGTTTTCTTTGTTTCTGTTTGGGGAATTTATTCTGCTCCAGTTTTCCTCCCTGAGGTTAAACAATGCTGAACAAGCTTTTTCATAAGATGCAGGCATGCCATTGTTCTCTTTGTACAAGATCTGGTCAGATATCATTGGTCTTTAAAGGCTGTTGTATTCAGCAACAGCAATGATAAGGTTATGCACAGACTTCACAGTTCAAAGAGAATTCATCAGGTTTAGACACATTTTCCCAATCTTTGTTTGCCATATGGCTAATTTACAGTGTTTTGCCTGTTGCATGTTGCTCCCTCTCCCATTAAAAATACAGCTGGGGTGGACAATGCACATTAACTGTGTTGCCAGAGAAATTATTTCCTGCTTTGTTTCATTGTACTACAACCGCTTCACAGTTAGCTTTGTGGAGTCTGCTGCCCTGCAAAAGCAGCTTGTGCCACTCTGGTTTACCTTCCCGCTTCCTGCAGGGTCTGCAAAGCAGCCAAAGGCTTTTCTCAAGACCCTTTCATAACACTTCTGGTATCTCTCAGGTGACTGCAACAGTTAATACTAAATACAATGTTTATATTGCTTTACCAGCCATACTGCATGATTTTCTCACATATTGTGTATGTGAGATACTATATTGAATTTGGTGTTTAAAGGCTTTTATTCTCATTAAATGTCTCTAAACAGAACGATTGAAAATCCTGAAGACTGAGAAACGATAAAGCCCAAAATAGATTTTATTGCCATTCATTACCATTTTATCCCATGGAAACATCTCAAGGAAAAGCATTTTTGGAGGAATTTTTGCCAAAGTCTTAAGCACAATGAAATCAGGGTTCAATCTCTGCTAGGGTTTTCCTGATTTCAGTTGTATGGGATCAGATTTAAAACACCGTATTTTCCGTGTTTGTTTTGACAGGGCTGTAGCAGAACTCAAACTTCTCTCATACATCTCCCCCTTTATCCGGCTCTCCTCAGGTGACCGCACCACTCGCACTGCTGTCACAAGGGCATTTAAAACTCCCAGGACGCCCACAGCTAACGTGTCTTGTTATGGGATGTTGAATCTTCCCAAACCAGTCTCGATCAGGGGCAGCCCATTCAGGGACCCGGTTAAGGACTGCTGGGGGAACCGAACCATCGGGCAGGACACACACCCCACTCCGTCCCCTCACAGCAGCGAAGTCACCAACCACAGCTTCCCGCCCTGGTCCGATGCCCCCTGGGCTCGCCCCGCCCCTCCTGGTGACGTCACCGCGCGGTGACGTGTCACTGGGGCGGCTCGGCGGCGGCCGCCGGAAGTAGCGTGGGGCAAGCGCTAAGGCGGGTTTGTGTTGCCAGAGCGGGCAGCGTTGTAGCGGCGGAGCTCCAGCCCCTTCCTTCCTTCCTCCCTCCCTCCCTCCCTCCCTCAGCTTCGCTTCGCCTCACTGTAGCGGCAGTACAGATGAGCGGTGTCCGAGCGCCCGGTGGGCGGCCAGCGGCCATCCCGGTGCCTACCTGCTTGCTTCTGCTGGGGCTGCTCCTGCCCGCCGCTGCCGCCAGCGGGGGGTGCGCGCTGGAGGCTGCGGACGGCGGCGGTGGCCGGCGAGGAGGACGAGTAGGTGCCACCTCCTCTGGGGTGGAGACGGCGGCGGTTGTGACAGGTAACGGCTCCCGCGCGTGCTACCGGCGGGGTGGTGGTGGGGGGAGCATCCCGCTGATGGGGGCGGCATGGGCAGACACGAACGGGCAGACTGACGCCTTCCTGCCGGGGCCCTGCGGTGCTCTGAGCCGCCTCGCTCCTTTTCTCTTCTCCCTGCTCTGCAGAGGGCGCCGGTCCGGTTCGCAGGAGGTCCGGCTGCGGCACTGCGGTACTGCCCCAGCTGGCCCCTCCCCGGGACGGAGCCCGCCGCAGGATGTGTGCAGGATCCTGTTGAATAGCGATATTGTTGGGATCTGGAGGCGCCGCTTCCGTGTCGGCTCCCGCGGTGCAGCCCGGGTGTCTCGGGCGCCGCCAGCCACGGCCCCGAGCCACCGGGCCGGCCCCGGCACCCGCGGGCCGCTGCCAGGAGGGGTGCCGGACACCCTCCGTGTGGGGAGGGCGCGGCTGCGGCCCCGGAGAGGAGGCTACGAGAGGCGAGGTGACCAGCCGCAGCTGGTTGCCCCCGAGCCCCCGTGCTGCGGAGCCCGAGGTGTTTATCCGGTGCTCTCGGAGGGGGTTAGTTCTCAGAAGCGTGGAAAGCTTTTTTTTCCGTCACTTTAATTCCTCCAGGAGCATGTTCATTCTACCGTATTTAACGGCAAATGGTAACGTCTGCAGTTAAAAACAGCCGTGGCACTGAAACGTTTAAAATAGTCTAATTTCAGCCAGTTTTGACGGCTCTGAATTGCTTGTAAGCATTCTGAATGTATCTTGTAATGAATAGTAGGAAGCTTTATGATCTCTAGAATCTTCACTTAAGAAAATGTTTATTTTTTATCTCAGGAAATAGTCAAAAGCATTTAGAAGTTTGTCATGTCTCATAATGTGCTTTTCAGAAAGCTCTCTAATTGGACAGTATGGAACTTGGAAGAAAGAAACAAACCCCTTCAGAATCAAAGTACCCTTCATTTCTTATCAGAGAAAACCTGATGATGATGTTTGGAATAGTGTCGACTGAGCTAAAATTACTGGATTTTAGTGGGTGAAATGTGCATGGGTTTCTTCTTTCATGTAACACTTAAAAAGACGAGTTTCAATTAACGAAACTTCAGTGGTGTTTCTGAAAGGAGGTGCAAGGCTATGTTAGCTGGCGATCTTGTTTGCGGACAGCATTTCTGCAATCTAAATTGTCTAATCTTTTGGCTTGCCGTATAAAACTAAGGAAGTTGGAACATCCGCAGTCTGAAGCAGCAGTCAAGCTTCCCAGGGGTGTTGTGAAAATGCTGTATTGGAACAGCGCTTTTTTTTTTTTCCCCAAGACCATAATTAATCTAGTTGTAGGTGGTATTAAACAGTTCTTGCTATGTATAGTGCTGATGCTGTCTACGTTCCACACTTAATCAGTTCTGATGTGTCAGTCTGTATGGAAAAAAAAAGTGGTTTATTTTTATTTATTTATATTTTATAGACTGTAAAAGTACAGAGATGTTTGTCAGCTATTGTACTGTCCTTCCCACCTTCCCCCCCAGCAGTGAACCTGGTGAAGAAATACGTTTATTTGAGAAATATAACATGTTATAGGTGGATTTATTGTGTTACAGGATAGTTTGGTGTGGAAAATATGTATGGTTAAAAGCCATTTTAGGATCAACTTTTTAGGAGATTTTTAACATAGTTCTGTGTTCATCTGCTGGATAAATGTCGTGTTTCAGTTGATCTTGTAAGTTACCCTTTGCAAAGCTGGAAGAACCCTTGAAGGTTGGGAGAAAACCAGATGACATGCATGGGGTTATTTTAGTGATATTATCTATCATTCTTTCCTTAAAAGATAAAACTTGCAGATCTGCAGTTGAGTTAGGAAGGATTGCCAATACTCATCTGGAGAGGAATGAAATAAACTTTCAATTCAGTCATTTTGCTAGGTTTGAGAAGTACAATCCAGAAGATAAAAAGCTGCTGAGTATATAATGCTGCTCTGGGAAGAGGCAATCAGATGCTCAAGTAGAGGTGTATGGGCAGCACAGCTGCAGGGAATAATCCAGGAGGCTAAGTCAAAAGTTGATGTGGCTAAGCAACTTTATGCTGCTGGCAGAAGTGCTATCCTTTGATATACTGATCCAGTTTAAATTACAAAAGGCTTTTACTTTTTTTCTTTTTGATTGCACTTTTGTGTCTAGTCTTGAGTATTAAACAATCCAGAAATTAGAGAGGAAAGTACCAGTGTGGATTGAGAGGCTCAGAACCTATGACTGATAAAAAAAAAAGTATTGATTTTTTTTGGGGGGGGGGGGGGAGTGGGAATGGAAAAGGCTGTGGGAGGGCTGTGTATGTGAGAAATGGTTCACAGAAGCATATTGATTTTAATTTAAAAAAAAAAACTTTATCCATTTGATCTGTGGTTAAGATGTACACTAAGAGGAAGTAAATTGTAGTAGGTGAGATTTAGGTTAAATATAGGCTGGAAAGTTTTCACCTATAACAGTCAAATTACGTAGGTTGTTCAGCAAGTTCCCCTTACTGGGTTAGAGAAACTGGCAAAGGTAATCTAGACACTTGACAGAAAAAGGATGTGCAATGAATTTTAGCTCTTTCCTAAAGAGCCTGAAATTCTATTTCTGCCATATTTCATCAGATATTCATGGATTTTCTTAATGGTTTATCTAGATTATCATTACTGATGTTGTTTGTTAATGTGCTATTGTAATTTATAAATGAGAGCTGTATATGTAACATCTGACACTATGCTGAGTGTATTTAGTTGCAGTGATGAAAATCAGATCAACAAAACTGTTTTCAGAGGGTAGAAAACCAGGAAGCTATTTTCTGTTCATACTGGCTCTGCTCCTTCCCATCTTAATTTGGTAGAAAGTTTTAAGGAACCTTCTGTTCTGAGCCTTAAGATAACACTGGGTTTTCACATTAGTTTATTCATTGACTTTTAATTAAATTGCTTTGTAATCCTGGATAATTGAGGATTTTTGTTTAAAAGTCTAAATTTAGTTCATGATCATGGATTAATTTGGCTGCCTTTCAGGTGAGAGAGTGAACCTGAACCTGTATTTGGCTAATAAATATCTCAAATAATGGCTTATAATATTGGGCTAGAGCATTTAAATTCACTACACTGAATTTACTGAAGAAGCAATGGACAGCACAATGCAACCTTTTCCTGAATTACTATTCAGGAAATAGTAATTCATAATTTTTAAATTTTTAAACTAATTCTTAATTTTTAAATGAGTTTCCATTCCAGAGCTTACCCATCATCCTAACACTCTGAGCTCTTCAAATTAATTGGACTTTGGCATTTGAGAGGTGATGGTTTCAAGAAAACATGTATTTTTATCTGCAGCTGTGCAACTGGTTTAAGGCATTCTAACGTGGGTGGCTGTTAAAAAGTAGCTTTCTTCTTTGGGGTTAACCCCAGCTGGCCATGTGAGCAGTATTGTTAGCACAGGGGAGCTAGTAGTAGGCGTGCTCATCTCAGTACTTCCAACCTACGAGGAGGGAGGGAGTTCCTGCTCTTTCTACTTTGTACCCTGCTTGCCCTCAGTGCTGTGGTGAGCCCTGTATGTTGCTTTAGCTTACAGGAACATGAAAAGAAACATGGGAAACAGAAAACAGTATGGATTTTTTTTTTTTTTCAAAATCAGAATCTTTCCTGACATGCTTTCAGCACTAGCACCACTGCAAAGAGGGAGGATGGGACTCTGCAGGTGGGGTCAGCATTGGGGAAGAAATGTGGTTTTAACATAGTTGTCCCTAGAATTGCATCTCTTAAGTGACTGAAAACTACAGTTGTGACCTTTTTGGGTTTGAGTAATCCATTTAGAAGTTAGTGGTTGTATATGAGACTTCATATATAGTGAACTAAGTAGCCATCTGGCCATGTTCTATCCCCTGTAGTGTATAAAGAGTGCAGTGATTTTGGTCACATAGCAGAATAATCTTTGCATAATTATTTTGGCATGCAATGCTCTTAAAAGATTGTGAGCTGTGAGGTTACTGTCGCTTCCCTAGCAAACTGCTTTTCAAGGCTAGTGGATTTCTTTAGTGCTGAAAACAGCATTGCAGGCTTTTTTTTTTTAATTCCACTGCTTGCTTTGTTTCTACTTAAGCTCTTTCATGATCTGGGCTTACTATTTCTGTTGGGAAGACAGAAGTTTTAAGTCCTTTCTCCATTAATGGCTACTTCAAGCTGTCATTTACTTTCTGCTAGCATCTCAATGCAGTGGTCTGTCCCTGGAATCTAATTAGTTTTTGCTCTGTTCTCACTTTCATTAGGTTTTTAATTTCTTAGCATATTCTTTATTTTTAGTGATAATAGGAGCCATCCAGCAAAAAAAATCCTTGTGCAGCAAGGTTTCTTGTTTTTTATAGCTCAATCAGAAGCTGTTGAATTGCCATAACTGCTAGATACAGCTAAAAAAAAAAAGCTGTAATTGGCTGGATTTGAAGAGTTTTATGAAACAAATATTAAAACCCAATCAATCAGGAAAAATCTTGGTCTTTATGTAGCTCCCATTCAGGGGTAAGACCTCAAGCACTTGTAACTTCCTTTGGCCATAGCTGAGTATTTTTGCTCTACAGCCTTCCAGTGTTTTAATTGTAACTCTTCAGTGCTTCTGTTAGTGTGTTTTGCACCTGGTGTCCTGTGAGCTTTTTGACTTGTCAGCTTTACCTCTTCTGAAGATTTCTTTTGTCTTACTGTTGGGAATTAGCCAGGCTATTTAGCTGATACTTTCTTTTTCTTGTCTTACAGTAGTAGTCTGTAGCAGACTCTTTCTTAAAACCCCTCAGTGGCCTTCCCTGAGTTGTTTTTTTTGACTCAACATCATCCTTAATCAGCAGTTTTTGTGTTGCCTCTTCAGCTATAAGCTTTCTGAAGACAGCTCTGCTTTTCTGGGGACCTCCTACCAGATTCTGGCTAGCTGGTCCTACGCACCTTGGTCATGACTCATTTTATTCTAACTAACCTCAGTGATACTGGTGTATCATAACTGGGTTGAGCTGCCATGTATT